GAAGGGAGATTTGAAGACAAAAGGAACCTAACTTGTTTTCTTCCATATGGTTAATAACAAATTCGAACCTTCCGAACATTACCTGTTACCTTAAATTAAATAACACCATCATTTTTAATTGAACTACCAGTATAAGAAGTGTAAACCTCCTACAATGGGACTCTCAAAGCAACATCTTCTAAGTCACACGATAAATATTCTTGTTTCTATCCCCAGCCAACCACACAATACCCTTGGGAGACGCGAGACACCCAGCCGACAGTGGAGGCGGATAGCGGTGGCGGTGACGGTGATGGTGATGGTGGTGGTGACGGTGATGGTGGTGGTCGAGTTGGTGGTGGTGATAATGGTGGTGGTGGTGGTGGTGATGGTAGTGAGGGTGGAGGTGCTGGTGATGGTAGTAATGGTGATGATGGTGCTAGGGTGGTGACAGTAGTGGTGGTAGTGAGCCGGTGGTGGTGACGGTGGTGACGGTAGTGGTGGTAGTGATGGTGAGGGTAGTGGTGGGTTGGTGGTGACGGTGACAGTGATGGTGGTGGTGGGGGTGATAACGGTGGTAGTGGTGGTGGTGATGGTGGTAGCGGTGGTGAAAGTGGTGGTGTTGTGGGTGATGACGGTGTTATTGGTGGTGGTGGGGATGATGACAGTGGCTGTGGTGGTAAGTGATGGTTGTGGTGGGGGTGATGACGATGGTGGTAGTAGTGGTGATGACGGTGGTGGTGGTGACGGTATTGGTGGTAGTGATGGTGAGGGTAGTGGTGGGGTGGTGGTGACGGTGACAGTGCTGGCGGTGGTGGGGGTGATAACGGTGGTAGTGGTGGTGGTGATGGTGGTAGCGGTGGTGAAAGTGGTGGTGTTGTGGGTGATGACGGTGTTATTGGTGGTGGTGGTGGGGATGATGACAGTGGCTGTGGTGGTGAGTGATGGTTGTGGTGGGGGTGGTGACGGTGGTGGTAGTGGTGGTGATGACGGTGGTGGTGGTGACGGTAGTGATGTTGGTGGTGGTGACGGTGGTGGTAGTGATGATAAGATACAACACCTGAGATATACGTGAAGATGCAAACATTTAAGTGTTGATTTCATGTTCTTTACTCCTCTGTAAATTACGTTCAATTCTTATTTTTGTTTTTAATCCATCCTAAATTATCTCTCTTCTCTTGCTCATTTAATATGTTGTAATTTGTATGTCTCCCCATCTACATAACTATTAATGAACCGTAATTTATCTCAGTTTTTATTCTTATTTTCTTTAATTAACATCAATTTATGTCTTTGTTATCATTCTGCATATTCTCTAACCAGATGTATACTGTATATAATTTCAAACTATTATTTTTTTTCAGTTATATTCTGCTTATTTTAGAGTAAATGTTTATCATGGTTATGACAATCCTTTCTCTTTCTCGCCACATGGAACACTTTACAAGGCATCAAGCGGTCTGATAAAATGCCGAGCCGCGACATGCTCAAACAATGTTGGGGGTGACGCCGGTGAGGAAAAGATATTGACATTTTACTCCGCCTGCAGTTTCGCGTGAAACAAACAGCAGTGGGAACGCTTGACTGTTAACAAGTAGCTGAATAAAATCGCCTGTCGTTAGCCATAATAAAATATAAAAATGTGACGCTACTTCTTAAGGGGTACGACGAGTCATACAAGGAACGCTGAAGCATATAAGTTATTTCATTGTGTTTCATAGTGTCATATAATAAGCTGTACTGTACTTGTTTCATTAACATGGAAAATACTTCAAAATAAGGTATACAATAGGGGACAGGGAATTACACACACACATACACACACACACACACACACACACACACACACACACACAAAGAAACGTACCACAAGAAACTTTTTTCTTAAACAAACATTCCCACCTTTTAAGACTCTTTCGCTAGGCCACGGTAGGACGCCACCCTCTGGGAGGCTCCACATTGTCTCACTGTAGTGCATTAAGGTGTCTGCTTTGATCCTGACTTTGTACTCGTCAGAAGGCATGTTTTCCAGGGCATTTTTAAATGACTGTACATACGTGTTGCGCTCATGCAGCATTTCTTGGATAGATAGGACAATGTCATGTCTGACACCTTGAATGTTGCCACACCTGATAGTAGTCTGGTTTTCATGATCTCCCATGAAGTAGATTTGGAGGAACTTTGCCTGCTCATCTTCCAGTGGTAAGAGGGATCCTGCTTTGTGATAGACTTGACCCTGGACTTTGAATGTGGGCATGTATAAGTGCTCACGAACTACTCTGGTAGCTCCAAAGGATGTCAACTGGAAGCATGAATTGTACTTTCGTATATTTTCCAAGAAGTGTTTTGACTCTGGTGTTGTTCCCAGCATGAGAGTCTTCAATGGTTGTGGTGGTTTTTCCAAATTTGGCACTCGTACTTTCCCATGAGAGCAGCACAGTCCAGCAGATTCTCCTTTGTATTTCTTTGCACCGCAGTATTCACATTTCTTATCCATGTTGCCAATGACAACAGAGGGATACTTTTCACCTAAGCGGCACGGGTGGTCCCCATTAGAGGTTCACGGCGCCATAAGCTCGTTGAACAGGCTTTGTGTGAAATATAACAGAGTCTAGGACTGCTTTTAGTGTTCTGTAGCCCACAGGTAGCGTTCCCCAGTCACAATTATAAGATCGTGGGTTCGAATCCTAGCGGGGTGAGGTGTTGATTATATGTAGAAGTCCGCGTGCTTTATTGGGCTAATGAAATATATATGGATCCTCGTGTTTCGAAGCCGGATTTGGTAAAACGTTGCTCTGATCACCTAAGCGGAAAGGGTGGTCCCCATTAGAGGTGTACGGCACCATAAGCTCGTTGAACAGGCTTTGTGTGAAATATAACAGTCTAGGACTGCTTTTCAGTGTCCTGGTGGCCCAGAGGTAGCGTTCCCAGGTCGCAATAATAAGATCGTGGGTTCGAATCCTGGCGGGGTGAGGTGTTGATTATATGTAGAAGTCCGTGTGCTTTATTGGGCTAATGAAATATACGTATATATATATATATATATATATATATATATATATATGTATATATATAGTTTGTGTGTACTTGAATGGATATTTAAAAAAAAATGGTTATGATTCACAGTGACTACACATTAAAATACTTGTTAAACACCCAGAAAGCTTATGAGCACTGTCAACTGTACTGTTTCTGAACAACACTCGAACTAGTTTGGCAGCGTGCGGGGATGGAATAGTTCCCTAGTATCATCACCATACTGTTAGATGCTGAGGTGAATGTAGACTCGGGTCAAGGTTATTAACAAAACTTGCACAGCAAGGCTCTTTAAATGATTTTAGAGAAAAATACCAGTTGAGTATTCTGTTTATTCCAGACAGTGACAAGATGTGATACGTTTTGAAGAGGTAATTTTAACTTGGCACGTTAATTTAATTGTTAAATTTTGGTACTTGTTGCGTCATGTTATTTGCTGTGGCACCAATTATGCTACATTTCTGTTACTTGCTACGTCTTATTATGTGTTACTAACTGCGTTAGGTCTAATTTTCTTGGTCCGTCATGCCCTTATGAAACGATATGTCAAATGATTGTTATTTGTTTATTACATTACGTGGTTGTTACTTATTGTCTCATGTGTTTGTTATTTGCTACATCAAGTCTGTTTTACTTTATACATCACGGGTTTGTTACTTGTTACATCACGTGTTTGTTACTTGTTACATCACGTCTTTTTTACTTATTACATCAAGTGCTTATTACTTGTTAAATCGCATCGTTTAATAATTCGTTAGTTATTAGTTACTAAAGTCATGAATCCTAATACAAATGTTACATTAGATTATTTATCTTAGTGTACAAGTGAAAGTGATGTAAATACTAGCATGCGTATGATACAGGGCGTTAGAAAACTCCATGTGCACCTGTAATGATTAAATATATAGTTATTTACTTTGTTCAACTTACAGTAAATGCTAGAAATGGTCATAGTAAAATGTGGAAGTGGATATTATTCACAATATTAACTGTACGTAGAACAAGGTATATAACAATGTTGGTATAACAAAGATCAACAATAATGTTAATGCTTACAGGTGCACAGGGACATTTCTTACAGTCTGTATAATACTCTATGCAGGTTATGTAGCATTAGGGATAACCCTTTACACATATAGCACTAGGATTAATTATGCATTACTATGTGATAATATGGATTATAGTATAGGAATTCATATGGCATTGTTAATCCTATACGGGTTATATAACATTTCAGATCATGGTTTATGTGTCATATAATGTGGCGGTTAATAGTATACTGGTTATATAAAATTACAGGTATTGGTGTATGTTATATAAATCTGCGGATTTTTATAAACGGGGATGTGTAAGCGTTAAAGGTCCTTGTCTAACTCTTCTGCCGTGTTAAACATTTAGTTGTAAATGTTATGTGTTGCTGAAGACTTTGAGATCATTCCCGGCATCTGACACGCAGCTGCCACTAATGTTACACGTCTCCTAACAACAGGGAGAAGGACAACCATACCACACGCTGTTACGGGTTGCTGCTAAGAGAGGGCAAGAGGCTTCATCTGTTTCAAGTTTAGTACAGCAACACACCTCATCAGGAAAGTTATAAATGGATGATAATCGGAGTGTATTTTAGCGTTATAAATAGTTTCGCTAAGGAAGTTGAAAATATCAAATAACAAAATAACAATTTCGCGCATTTGGGGAGGAGGGTAAAACTAATATTGACATTAAAAATAAATTAATGCAAATGACTTCAACCAAAACACAATCTGATGAGAACCATATCTTGTAGCTACGACATGTAAAACCTGCTCTCTTGTGAGAACGAATAAAACAAGGTACTATTCACGAGACACATAGCTAACAACTCCACCCCTAGTACAACTTTTACAAGTTAGTCTTCTCAACGATGGCTAGTATTCCTGCAGATACATGTAGCACGATTTTTTTTTAAATATATTAAACGCACCGTAAAGTTGCGTGTGACTTACCGTAGAGGACGGCGGGGCGGGGCGGGGCGGGTGAGTGTTGTGAGGAGCGACGACTTGTTGCTTGTGGGCGGTGGCAGGCGAGTGGGGAAGTCGTGGCTCCTGTGAGCACCGCAGTGACACCGGCGCAAGTGAGTGCCACTACTCGTGACGTCTTCCACCAAAGGTCTTCCATGGTCCCCCCTTTCTCCCCCACCCTCACTTACCCAGAGCTACGAGTCGGTCACATCACTGTTGCGTCATCGATCTTGCTCTACAAAGGCCAATCATTGTGGGTGTATCCGGACAGGGGTCGCCGTAAACCAATAAGAACACCTTCCAGGACTGTGATGCAATGAGTTTAGCTCCGCCCACCAGTAGCACCCTCCAGTCAGTGGCAGTACCTTACGTGACGTCATGGGACTATAGAAGGTTGCAGCCAATAGGAGAGTGTGTAGATTTGAGAAAAGTTGGTCATTCATATAAGCTTCATGATATGGTATTACAGGACCCTGAAGATCAAGAAAAGTAAACAGACCAAACAGTCGTGGAAAACAAACCTCACTAAACTTTGTAAATTAACACAATACTGTACAGTACACACCGAGTCAAACACCCAATAATAACACAAAAAATACTAGGTACAGTAAACAAGACTTAATGATAAACGTGTTGATACTGTTCATTCGTCCTACCTGCCATAAATCATCGTTTCATGGACCTTGTGGGTCATACATTAGTAGCTTCGTGGGTCATACATTAGTAGTGTTGTGGGTCATACATTAGTAGTGTTGTGGGTCATACATTAGTAGCTTCGTGGGTCATACATTAGTAGCTTCGTGGGTCATACATTAGTAGTGTTGTGGGTCATACATTAGTAGTGTTGTGGGTCATACATTAGTAGTGTTGTGGGTCATACATTAGTAGTGCTGTGGGTCATACATTAGTAGTGTTGTGGGTCATACATTAGTAGTGTTGTGGGTCATACATTAGTAGTGTTGTGGGTCATACATTAGTAGTGTTGTGGGTCATACATTAGTAGTGTTGTGGGTCATACATTAGTAGTGTTGTGGGTCATACATTAGAAGCGTCTTGGGTCATACATTAGTAGTATTGTGGGTGGTAATAGGCCCTGTCTTATAGGCAGAAGTATTTATATAAATGGGTTAATTACATTAGACTTATATACTCTATCATCCTCTGTAACTTTCCACTAGCTATGAGGTAGCATGTTCAGAGCTCGTGTTAAGGTGCGCCCACGGGAAGTCCGTCACTATCCGACGTCCTACCTGGAAGGAAGACGGAACTATCCACGATGGCTCTCAATAACGTCTTCCTCTTGTCAAGGATATCAAACTACTGCCCTACATCAGGTGGCCACTCAATGCCTTAGCTCAGCATATTACCGTTCTCCCTCGATGGGTATTACAGGCACTTTTACTCAACCCCTCACCCCAACAGGACGTATTTTAGAAGAGCTATTTCACATAGCCTCCGTCCTTCATTTAACACTCATAGCTGCAGTGATTAAGTTACGGTAATGCTCCTTTTTAAAAAGTGTACACAAATCTTTTTTTAAGAAACACAGAAAAGGAACACATTGGATTTCACTATAGAAGATCCAATAAACTTTTATCTACATTTTCGTATGTCTAAAATATAAAGTAACGTTCTTCTCAAGTGACTGTTACAACTGGTGACAACCCAGGAAGGTTATTACATATATGACAGTTTCACAAGTAACTGTTATACACACTAACAGTCACCCCAACAGATACACAGTTAGTAAAGGTAGAGAATTGATTTGAAACAGTTGAATTGAATTGAAACAGTTTATTTAGCCAGAAAAACACAGACACAGAGTGGATAATAATAACAATATTAACATGGCTGAGCCAGTTGAGAACCTGAGCTCTCTTTTAGGCGCCTGATATATACTATACATTTATCTCAAGGAAGTATTATGTAACATTTAGTAACATCTGGAATAGTACAATAGCATGGTAGTAATAAGAACATCTCATAATGTTACCACGGTTATCACTTCAATATTTATTAATTTTATTTATTTTTTTTTAGTTTATTATTTATTTATTTATTTATATATACATAAATTACAGTGGAATTGAAAAACATAAATATAATGGGGGAGCAGTACAACATGGGGTGTACAGTATTAAGGTTGAATATGAGGACAGAGCTGTCAGGATTATGTCTAGTTGGCAAATACATTTATTGCAATGGTAATTTCTTACCTATTTACATGATAATTTCCGATAAAACGGTTTTGATGGTACAATAAAAGCAGGTACTGTAAATATAGTAGGTGTTACAAGAAATATTAATACTTAGACAATAGATATTTGTTAAGAGATGATTTAAAGGCAGGGAGCGTAGTCTTTGCTTAGATGGGTGGGGGTAAGTTGTTCCACACCTCCACACCATGATATTTTATGGAGGTCTGGGACTGAGAGGAGCGCATGGGGGGTTGGTCTTAGTAGCTCTGGGTGCCTTAAGTTGTATCTCTGATTATTCCGGAACTGGAAATAATTATTGTCAAGCAAGTGATTGATAGATCTGTAAACAAGAGGGCACAGCAGTAGGTGTTAATATCTTCGAATTTTAACATTTTCAATTTAATTTTTTTTTTAGTTAGTGTGATCTGTTTTTTTTTTCAAGTAGGTCATTGTCCGTACAACTCTCTTTGGACAGTAACCAGGGATTGTGTTTTTGAAGAGCCAGAGGCCCCCATAGTGTGTGACAGTGTATCAGGTGTTGGTAAACAAGATCATGATAGATTTCTTTCATTGCTGTGAGAGTGAGTGACTGTCGAGTGTGATACATGATACTGCACTGTTTATTGACTTTACTGTGAATTGTTTGTATGTGATTTTTCCAGTTATGTTTCTCATCAACAATAACTCCAAGGAATTTAGTATTTTGTTCGCGTTTGAGAACTGTATTACCAAGGTACAGGGGGTCCAAGCCTGGGGGTAAGTTTTTCCTTCTATGAAAGATCGTGTAGTGGGTTTTTTCAAGGTTTAAGGTCAGTTTTTTACGTATTATCCAGGTCTTGACATTAGTCAATTCGGTGTCCATAGTTCTCATCAAGGGATGGAGGTCTGATTTGCTGTCATAGAGATTACTATCTTCTGCAAACAAGTTGTATTTTATGAGTGTGCTGGCGTGCACTATGTCGTTTATGTACAACAAAAACAGTACTGGACCGAGAATGGAACCTTGGGGGACGCCATACAAGATTGGCGAGGAGTCAGATTGGTGATTATTATAGCAGACATACTGCATCCTGTTGGACAGATATGAGGTAAACCAATTGTGGGACAGGCCCCTAACACCGTAATGTTCAAGCTTTGAAAGGAGGATGGTATGGTCGACAGTATCGAAGGCTTTAGAGAGGTCCAAGAATATACCGACTTTGAACTGACTGTTATCAAATGAATTTAAGATGTCATTAGTAAAGGATAGCAGAGCACTCTTAGTCGACCTTCTAGCTCTAAATCCAAATTGGGAGTCTGTAAAGATGTTATTGGCATTGCAGAAGGAATTTAGTCTCCTACATTCTAACTTCTCCAGTATCTTACTCAAGGCTGGGATGACTGATATGGGGCGGTAATTCTTGAAGAGACCTTTGTCCCCAGATTTTTTTATATGCTGGGTGAAATTTAGCAATTTTCAATTTATCCGGAAAGACACCACTAGTGAAGGAGGAGTTAAAATGTGTAGGAGAAAAGGTAGTAACAGGTAATAATAAGTGGGCTACTTTCTTAATGATGCTCATTGGTATATTGTCTTCGCCTGCTGCTGCATCTTTGGACATTTTTATGAAGGCCAGCAATTCATCTGCTGTGACTGGGGATAAGAACAGCTCATTTTGCTGTCTGTTTTGCAGGTAGGCTCTAAATTCCTCATGGTGATCAGGGATGCTCTCTGCAAGATTTTTGCCAACATTAATAAAATATTCATTGAAGTGGTTGGCAATGAGGTAGGGTTCCGTTACAACTGAATCATTTATCATAAAAGCTGAGTGGGGGGCCGAAGGCTGGTGTGTTCCTGTTCTGAATAGAATTTATGACATTCCAGGTTTTCTTACCGTCGCCTGATGCTGACTGGAGTTTATTTGTATAATAGCTACGTCTGGCATTTCAAACTGCTTGAGTTACTCTATTTCTGATACTTCGGTAAGCATCACCGAAAGTTATGGGTGATTTGCAAATTTCCTTTGGAGTTTGTGTTTTTCTTTTATCATTATTTTAATTTCGCTTGTGATATAAGGATTGGAAATAGATACAGTTTTCACTGACTTACTTTGAGCCGGGAGCATTTATCAAAGCAAGCATTGAAGATGCAAGAGAAGTTGCAGCTGTTCACGATAGGGTTGTCGGAGGCATAGACAAGATCCCAGTTAGCATTCATTAGGTTGTTTTAAAAAAGAAGCATGTTGTCAGTGCAGTAGTCTCTGTATTGTACTGAGATTCTACTAGACCTTTCAGGTCTTGTGGCTGATTTATACGTGGCAAAAACTGGGAAGTGATCGGAGATATTGTTATAAATAATTCCACTTGCAAGTTTGTTAGGAGTGTTATTAGTCCAGATATGATCTATCACAGTGGCAGAGGTGGCAGTTATTCGAGTGGGTTTGGTTATAGTGTTGAAGAAGAGCTTAGAATGACAGGTTGCAAGAAGGTCTAATACTGAGGTGTCGGCTTCTGATTTTAATAGATCAAGGTTGAAATCTCCTGTAATGTAGCAAAGTTTCTTTTCTGAACTTATGATAGTGATAAGCTCCGAAAATTTATCAAGAAAATTTCTTACGTTAGTGTGGGGTCTTCTGTAGATTACTCCTACTAGGATATTTCGTGTGTCGTTACGTAATTCAATGAAAACACTCTCCATGTACTCCTTCTGAACCTTTAAATCATCTCTTACAGAAGTGTTATACTTGATATCAACATATTGGGTGACACCACCACTGTGTCGTGACGTGTTGACGCAATGTCTATTATAATTAGGAATGTTATACAAATTGTCAATATCGTTAGTGAGTTTGGTCTCACAGAACCCAATTACATAAAATTTGTGGTCATTAAAAGATATACACTGATCTAAAAAGGTATCTAGATGAAGGGGAATGAGGTAG